CATGTGTGTACAAATGTGTGCATGGGGTGCCTGAGTGCAAGGCGTGATTCGAAAACAGGGTTTTCTTGTCCTCGTGCGGCTGGACCCCTGGCAATCTATGAGAAGGAAAATCCCTGCCTAGCTATGACACATCAAAGCTGTCCCCTGTGACGGTGCCCAAAACTCCCATTTCCTTGGTGAACAGATGGCAGGGAGCAGAAGCAGGACTTTGGACTGGGGACCGGACTTGGTTTTCTTTATAGTTTGTGTCTCTCTGTGATGTCAGCTCCCATTCAGAGCTGGCCAGTTGGCATGTCTGTGGCCCGTTCTGCTCGCTAAGTTGGTCTTTGGGACCTAGCCAGGTGGGCTCCAGAGCCAACATGTCCCTAGAAAGCATTAACCCCACAGAGTAGGGCTGGTACCCATCTGATAGGGCTGTCGGAGTTGTCAGTGGTTGAGGACTCCATCCACAAAGAGCCTGACCTTCACTGTCTACAGAGTGGAGGCTTGGAGAGATATCCTTGGGTTCCTTTATGTGGCAGTTTGTACCTCCAGGATGGTGGAAAGCCCGGCAAGGCATGTCAAGGCATGTCAAGGCCTGTAGCTCCACTGGGACATTTCTCAGGACTCAGAAGATGGTGGCTCAGGAACACTTCAGGTCACTCTGATGAGTATGGGGGAGGGGGAAGAAAACTAAGTGACCTTGAACATCGCTGGACATTGCCTTCCCCCCCTTCACTGTGCATAGACCCAACTCTGCCGCCAGCAAGGGAGCAGGCCTGGTGCTGTGGCTCAACCACAGGACTGGATCAACAAGGATACCCCACCTCTCTTTAATGGAAAATGGATGGAGGGCCCAAAAGCAAGTACGCGCCTTGGGCAATCCCCCCAGCCTCAGCCAGACAGCGTCCATCATCATTTTGGTGAATGCTAACAGTGCCCACCCCAGCCCCACTTGTTGAGCTGGAGAGTTCCACTTGAGCTGGGAACTCCCGGCTTTGTATTCCACTTTATGTGGCCCTGTAGTCCAAGAGGGCGCCATCTGAGTGACAAGCCATGCAGGCATATTACCCTGTTATCTTTTAGAATGAAGAATTTGATTTGCTTCACCTGCCACTGATTACAAATTTTGTCATGAGTTTCTTAGCTCTCAATCAGGTGCAATGGAGGCAAATGAAACACGTGTGTGTGTGTGTGTGTGTGTGTGTGCTCGCTCGCACGCATGCGCACGCATGTAGGTATGCTCTGTGTGTACATGTGAGTATGCTCAGAGTGTGTGTGTGTATATGTGTATGTGGGTAGTTCAGTGTGTGTGTGTATGCGTGTACATATGTGAGTATGCTCTGTCTCTGTGTGTGTTTGTGCTTATGTGTGTACATGTGAGTATGCTTAGAGTGTACGTGTGTGTGTTTGTGTGCGCGCACGTGAGCTCAAGCTGGCACTGTGTGGTAGAGCTAAAATATTAGAGCAGGGAGGGAAGCTGTGCTCAGGGTGGTGGTGAGTGAGGGTTCTGATCGTCTCATTTTTGGCACAGGCTGCTGCTTTGAGTTAGGTCACATGTCACTAACTTGCACTGATCTTCTCCCCCCCCCCCCCCCGCAGCAAGTCCCTCTTTGTTCTTTTCTTCTCTCACCTATACCCTGTCACCTAGAGCCTTGTCCCCACCAAACCAGTCTTCTAGACTTGAGAGCAGAGAGAGAAGACTGCAGGATGCTGGAGAAGAGAATATCTGTTCTCTCTGAGAGACACTGAGCAGAGAGAGAAGACTGCAGGATGCTGGAGAAGAGAATATCTGTTCTCTCTGAGAGACACTGAGCAGCGACAGGAGCATCGGTGTGGCTGGGCTTCCTCGGGCCCTGCAGCAGTGATTGCACTAACACTCTGTGGTGGTGAGAACAATCAAAGGAATACTTGAGAGAGCAGTTATCACATTTAATGGTTCAGCCACCCTCGGAGTCACAGAGAGGCTAAGTAACTCATGTCACACTGCTCAGCACCAGTCTAGAGGTGAGAGCAGCCAACCCAGATCCTGAGAGGGGCAGGACTGAAGAGCAGATGATTGAGAGAAATCCCTCAGGGCTGATGAAATCCCTTTTAGGGAATATTTTGACCCTCATACTTGTTGTTTATGATACATGTTAGATTCGGAAAGCAGGAAGACCTTACAGAACACTGAGAGGGCTGTGAGAATGGTGGCAGCCACTGAGGTATCGAGAAAAGGTGTGATGGAAGGAGCCTTCACAGCAGGGGGTTAAAGGTCTTAGAATAGGGTCAGAGAATGAATGGAGTCAGTCGTGGGATGGGGCCAAGGCGACCCGATCTACAGTTAACCAGCTTCTTTGACCTTGAAACCATCCAGAGATCTGGACCTTGTCTTCATATATCTACTTGATCTGGAATTCCCCGCTGTATGCTGCAAATGTTTTATTACCATTGGCTAATAAAGAAGCTGCTTTGGCCTATGGCAGGGTAGGAAACCTAAGCTGAATGCAGGGAGAGAGAAGGCAGAGTCAGGCAGACACCATGTAGCTGCCAAAGGAGAAAGATGCCAGAATATTACTAGTAAGCTACAACCTTGTGGAGATACATAGATTAATAGAGATAGGTTAATTTAAGATGTAAAAGCTAACTAGGAATATGCCTGAGCCATTGGCCAAACAGTGTTGTAATTAATATAGTTTGGGTCTGGGCGGTTAGAAAATAAAAGCAGTCTCTGCTTACATCTACTATAGAGAGGGGGCTATACTTCCAAGTGTCTAGGATACTGAAATGTTCTTTGACTCCTTGATAACCTCTGATTGACCAATAGTTGTAGGAAGGAGGGGGACAAGCTTTAAGGAATGGGCGGGACCTACAGGATCCAGGATCTGATTGGATAGGGAGATGAGAGAGTGCCGGCTAACTGACTTGCTTCCAATGTGTAAGGCAAGGCTGGCAGAACAGAGCTGTGCAGGAAGTATGGATTGTACAGCAAGCTAAAACAACATCTGCATAGTGTGACTAATGCCTCCCCAAGCAAACAATAGCAATACTATGTATGGATAAATTGCTTGAAGCCCAACATTTCATTGTCAAATTACCCAGTGAAGGCTGGGGTAAATCTCAGTGGGAGAGCATGTGCCTCGTGTATGCGATTCATCCTCAGTGCTTACATCTGTTTTTTTTTTTTTTTTAAATTCACTTACCTAGAAACAAGCAAAGAAGCCATGTTGACTGCAGCATCACTGCAAGGACTGCATCACTTCACAAGACTTCCGCTTTCATGTGTGGACGAACACGTGTGATGCTTGCAGCTTTCCAACGGCTATCAGATGATAGAGCTAGTTTTAGATGGAAGGCAAGTGAGAGTATAGGTTACCCCGGTGGGGACTGCGGAGAGCTGCAGCTCCCCTCGATAGGCAGTTGTCTCCTCAGGCTCTGAGAGAAGAGATTCTCAAGACAAAGGATTTGAGGAGACATCCAAGCGAAGGTTTTCCTTTTCCTGTACCAATGGCCTTGCCACATCCCTTTCAGACACATTGCTGGCTACATAGTGCCCACTACATAGACCAAGTGCCCTCTATACAGTGTGCACTATGTAGACCAAGCTGGCCTCGAACGCCACCTGCCTCTGCCTCCTGAGTGCTAGGAGTGGTGGCCCGTGACTTTGATCTGAGCACTCTGGAAACAGAGGCAGGCGACACCTGACTTGGGGAGAACCTTGGGAGGAGCATGACCTTCCAGAATGGACTAAGTACGTGTTGCTGAAGGAGATGGTCATGGACTGGTGTGGACTGGTCCACTCCCTCCTCGCACCGCACTGCACAGGGTTTAATGCATTTGCATAACAATATCTGCTGCCTCTGGGTGCTGTCTGTGCAGGCTGAGCTGCTAGTTCTCAGAAGAGAACTCTGTCTCTTCCATTCTCTCCTGTTTGGATCAGCAAGGGATGAGGAGGTGGTGTGGGGAGACATCCTTGCTCCCACTTCGCTGCCTCTCTTCAGTGGGGCAGCTTTTGTGTATAAAAATAGATAAATCTTGAAACTTTTTACGTGTCATGGTTCTGGGGTGTCTTGATGCTGGCAGGGTCTCTAAACAAACCTCTTCTGCATGTTACTTTGGCTGGGTCCTGGGTGGTCCTAGCTGGGATGCGGGGATCAGCTACCTTCTTTCTCCAGCAGAATAAGAGGTTTCTGACGTGGCAGCCCAGAGCTTTCAAGAATGTTAAAGTGGAAGCTGCCAAGACTTCCAAGCATATGCTAAAGTTGGCAGCTCTGCTCTCCTGCCTAATTCCCCTGGGTCTGCCCCCAGGGACGGGGAGGGGCCAGTCATCCAGAAGGGCTTGTTTTAGTTGGGCTATTGTGAGTAGCACACTCCTAGCTGGGTCTAGGAGGAGGACCTGGCCCCCTTCCTTACCATCAGCCTCTAATGGCCTTCCCTTCCCCAGAGGCATTCTTTCATTCCCGTGGGCCTTTAATTCTCTCTTTGTGTGACCCTTCTGTCGCCTGTCACCATATTGGCTATCTTTTGGGCCTAGGATCTGAACCCCAAACAGGCAATGTTCAAGGTGAACTAAGTGGAATAGTTAATCCCAGGCAGACAGGACAGATGGCAGCTGTGGTGACTGCATCCCCATCTAGGGGCCTGGAAGAGTGGCAAAAATTGCTACCCCAGTCCCCTTGTCAAAAGGCCATATATAATAGACCAAATATTGCCTATGAGATGAGCAGCTGACAGAGAGAGGAGGCGAAAGACTGGGGTTAGGAGGGGGCATGCTTCTGAAGTCACTGGCCCCTGGTCCCCTCCCTCCTTCCTCTGGATCAGCCCAAAACACATATCACAAGTAAGGTCACCAGACTAGTGAAGGCAGGGTTTCCCAGGTCACAGAGGTACCTTCCTCAAGGCCTCTAAGTGAGGACCACCCCAGCTGGCACAGAGGGACATTGCCTTTCTGGCTCCAAAGGGAGAGGTCCGCGGGAGCTGCCTGCCACATTATAGCAGAGGGACAGGAATTAGCTTCAGGAGACAAGAGTGACTCTGAAGACATGAGAAATGGCATTCTTTATTCATAAATAAAAACATAAAATTACCAGAAATAGTTTACAGGGCCAACAAAGAACTTCAAAAATAAAACAAAATGAAGCCATCAAGAGCAAAGCAAACCACAAACAAGGGAGAGAAAAATAACTATGTACACAGTCTTCAAAATGCCAGCCCCTCAGAAGCCAGCCTCCGCCAAGGGCTCCAGAGTGGTCAAAGGGGAAAGCAGGTGCCACCGAAGGGTGCTGTGGTCTGTTATGTGGCATCTGAGGAGAGCTCAGGTTCTAGGGAAATCCCTGGTCCAGCCTGGCTTTCCCTTGGACATCTCTCTCAAGCAAGACACAGTCAGGCTGAAGTCAGGGACAAGAGGGCCAGCAAGTGTCTCTCAGAGGAGAGATGCTAAGTCCTCCAAATGGTTGGTCCCCTGCTGAAGCTCAAGCGCACCTAGAGAGAACAGAACTGAGCGTGGAGGTACCCCATGGGAGTCTGGGATTGCAAGACATGAAGCAGGCCCTTCCTGCAAGGCCATGTTGGCTTCCTTCAGAGGGCAGCAGCATTCCCAGACCAGGCATCTCTGGGGAACGCCTGGATCTGAGAGACAGCCCATGGCAGGCTGGTTGTCTGCCTTGAATCCACACATCCCAGCCCTACTCAATGGCTGTCCAACCTGAGCCTCTCAACGCGGGCACGGACCACAGACAGAATGCTTTAGGGCAGAGATGGAAAGGAAGGCCACAGGAAGGCAAGGCTACTGGGTTACACGTATCGTGAGTTACCCTGGGATCGTGGGCTCTTAGTAGTCTTGAATGGGTGTCTGCCACCTTGATTGTTGGGTAAATCCCAGACAAAGGTCTCAAAGATGACTTGGAGCAGGGTCACTGGGCAGTGTCGCGGGAAGAACTCCCTGTGAGTAGAAGGCACCCAGCACAGATACAGAGTGCAAGGTCTCTGCCTGTGTGCCTGGCCCAGGCATGGCACCCACTTCCCTTTGAACAAGAACTCTATGGCACAGCACTGGGCTTCTGGCTGTTCTTTCAGAAGGTGGAGTCCTACCGTCTAAGGAGAGGCAGCTAACCCCCATCTTGCGCTCCCTCTGTTGGACAGTCTCAATGTGAAGGACTCAAACAAGGCACAGACCGGTAGAGAACGAAGGGCTGGGGGAACAGGAACTTTTTTTTTTAAACTGGGCTATGAACCTTAGTGGAGGTTATGATCCTGCAAGCGGGAGGTGTCATCTTTGGCCTGTCAATTCCAGGTTTAAATTGAGCGTGTGGCTATGGGAGACCAGAGGACAGGGTGACACTGGAAGTCAGCTGAAGAGGCCAAGCCTAACCCCGGGATCAGACAGCTGAGCCATCTAGGGGAGGGGGGAGGCACCCACCCTGCAGACACTAGGAAGGGCAGAAAGTCCACAGAAAGCCAAGGTCGGGGGGCTGGGGTCCACCAGGAACTGCAGCGGCCAGCATTCGGGAGGTAGAACGTAGAACTAGAGTTGGCTCCTGGACTGCCAAGCACCCAGACCCTCCCTTCCATCTCCCATCCCCTGGGTCCCGCCCACCAGGCAGCACATGGCTGGGTGTCCTACCGACAACAGCTGTGGTAAGAACCAAAAATAGAATATGGAGCAGCCTGGCTGCCTGCTTAATCTGGCTTGCCTTGGAAAATACAGAATGGGAGGGGGGAGGGGAGAGACGATAATTTCTTGAACTAAGCGACTGTACTTCCCTCTGCTTCTAGCAGAAGACAAGTCCAGGCTCCCGCGGGTTCACGTGCTGCTCTCCAGACTGAATCTTTACCGCGTAGGGCTCCACATGGAGGCTCTGTGTATGTTCCCTGTCCCTGCTCTGCCTGCCTGGACTACACTGATAACCCCGCCCAGCCTCTACAGAATTCTAGCATAGTTCTGAAGATGCTGTAGGAAAGGGAGGCTAGCGCCTCGCTCCCAGGCACACTACCTAAGTGGATGAGCTACTCTGGACCCAAGCAAGAGCCTCTGTTGGGGGGGACGGGGTTCCATATTGGCAGCTGGCCAACTGAACCATTCGGCGAAGACCCTGCCTTGGCCTCGGCTGTAGCAAATAGGAGGCTCCCCTGGAATGGGAGTGAAGCTATGCTGTCTATCATTTCCATGTACTGCACCTGGGACCCCAATATCTATGGCTTTAAACGGAGTGACCACTGGGGGTGGAGGGGTTGTGCACCTCATTTAGACTCTGAATCCCACTGTGGGCCATGGTTCTCTCCCCTCACCTCTCTCTCTGAGCTCTGTGAGACCCATGAAGATTCTGTAATGCAGGACTGTCCATCCACCCTCTCCTCCCATGGCTTGCTGGCTAAACCGTGTGGCAACCCAACTCCTCCACCTTTGCAGTCGGAGAAGAACAGGCTGTAGTGAGGAGCGTGTCCAAGGCTTCTGGTTACGCATGGCTTCTATCTCAAGACATCCCCGTATGCTTAGGGGATGACGGGCTTGGGGTGACAGGGAAGATGTTTCTGTCCTTGGGTGGCCACTTGGCCTATGGCAGATGTCCCCACCCCTGATGGAGTGCCTTTACCTCTACTGTGAATGAGACCAAAGTGGAGGGAAACATCAACCAGCACAGGAAGCCCCCTGAACACACATCCACGGGCGCTTGGGGTTCAGAGATCAAGGTCCAATAAGCAGCAGGGGTAGTTAGATTGGAAAAGGCAAGAGGAGAGGAAAGACTACGTCTCCACCACTGGGGACTCCTGAGTCTGGGCCCCAGAGGTGACGTCTCTCAGAGGTGCTCAAAATGCCTCTTTGAACAGGCTCAGACCTCCCGGCCTTCTGGGGTCCAGTCCCCAACCCTCCCTCCCCTAGGCAGCCCCTCAGATCTCAGTGGCTATGATGTCCTCATAGGGAATGTCAGCTCCCTCCAGGTCAATTTCAAAGGACTCCCCTGCCCCGTCCCCACGGGCCAGCTGCTGCAGGGCCTTCTCTAGACGCTGGTTGCGCTGGTACATGGACAGGTAGCTCTGCTGCAGCTGCTTCTGGTACTGAATCACTTTCTCCTTCTCTTCCTTCCACACTAACCGCTCGTGCTGGAAGCCGGAGGACATCTGGTCATGGCCCTGCCTCTCCTCCTTCAGCTCAGCCCGCAGCCGCTCCAGCTCCCGCTGCAGAGCAGGGATGTCCTCCGAGAAAGTCGGCCCCACCCCCAGAGGCCCCAGGGAGGCCGCCTGGGCCCGCAGCTCCAGCAGCTCCTGCTCCAGAATGTTCACCTTCTCTCGCAGCAGCTCCGCCTCGTTCTTCTTCCGCTGCAGTTCATTCTCACAGACCTCCAGCTCCAGCCCTTTGGTGCGCAGGGCGCTCTCCAAGTCCTGTGTCTTCAGATCCATGCCCTCCAGCTTGCCCCGGGTGTCCTTCAGCTGTGCCTTCAGACTGAGGATCTCACTGGCCTTCGTGTTCACCTCCATCTGAGACTCTTTGAGCTGCTGCTTCAGAAGGGAGATCTCGCCTGACTTCTGGCACACCTGCCAAGGGTGAGGTGAGAAAGGGTGAGACCCGGCGCCAGAGGTGATTGGCACCTAACCCAGGTGACATCTCCCTCTCCTAAAGGGCACAGGGTGCTCCTGACAGGGTGCCTTTAACACAGTTCTTGTGCATGTAGACAATCTACTTTTCTTGCTTTCATTTCCAAGCCTACCTCATCTCCAGTTCAGGCTCCACATCCAAGTCTCTGCCCATACCTCAGGCTATATGCAATTCCATAATCAATGTCTTCCTCTGTCCACTGCTCCAGGTACAAATACTGAAACCTTGCTCCTGCAAGTACCCACACCTGCTTTCACCTCTGGGGTGAGACCATTTCACTTTGCCCTGTTGCACCCCAAAGGCTAACCACTCAGTCTGGCTCACAGGCAGTGCCCAGATCACATCTGCCAAATGATGATCTGTGGTCTTCCTCTCTTCCTGGCTTCTCCATCCAGTTAACAATCATTGGCCATCAAAGTTGGGCCAAGAACACAATGAAGTCAGATCATTGTGGCGCTGGGGTCTTATCACTTTGGGGATCATAAGCATTACTTAGGGTCATGGCATGGTTTGAAGTCGTGGTACACACCAACCTACACCTATCAAGCCTGTCTCAGATAACCCCCCCCCCCAACTCTAAGAAAGCATGAAAGAAAAGAAAAAGTAAGAAAATAAAAGTGCATGACATGACTCATATGCATGAAGCTCCGAGTTTGGTATCCACCAGGGACCTGCTCCCGCCCAAAGAGGAAGCCTAGTGACTGAAGGCTAGGGCTCGGCACTCCAGAATGAACTACTGGAACAAAACTGGAGACATCATTGCTGTATTTCCATTTCCCTCTCCCAGTAAAGCTCCCCTTTGCTCCCAGCCAAGCACTGACCAATGTAAAGGAGAACGCTTAGCCTCGCCACCACACACAGCTAGAACCTGAATTTCTTGACAAGGTCAAGTCCAGACCCTGACTGTCTCCCAAAGACCATGTGTTAAAGCCCGATTTCCAGTGTGGTAACACTGCAGAGGCAGTAGAACCTCTTAGGAGTAAGGCGCAGAGGAAAACGCTCAGGCCATTGACCCTTGAAGAGGACTGTGGGATCCTGGTCCCTTCTTTGTTCCCGACAGTTGCATGGCCCCATGGCCCAATCATGACATGCTACTTCATCACAGGCCAAAGCAAGTCTGTTTGTTGATTGATCATAAAGCAAAAGCTCCAATACTGTGAGCCAAAACAAACCTTCCCTCTTCACGAATTGCATGTTTTGTGCATTTTGTTATGATGACGAAAAGCTGAGGAACATGCCAAGCCTATACTAGTTTGATGGAGGGAGTTAGGACAGTCACATTGGAGCACGAGCTGTGAATCCTGGTGGGATCACTTATGCACCAGGTGAGGTTGGCACACATTAGCATGGAGCCAACAGGCAATGAGAGGTGTGAACTCCATGAAATGACTCCCAGGGTAAATGCATTTGTCTCCAACAAGCTGAGTTCTGTCCCTGGGACCCACACGGTGAAAAGAACCAACTTTGGAACGTTGACCTCTGACCTCCACATTTGAACTACAGCATGCACATTCCCACCACTCAAATAAGTAATAAAAATGAGAACTTCCAGTCCGCAGCTTCACAGGTAAATCCTAGGACCAGTCTGCCACATGTCTCAGAGGTTAGCCAAGTCCCTTGGCCAGCTATTTGCTATGGTAACTAATCTGTGTGCCAGTTTCCTCAATTATAAACTGAAAAACTGTAACACATCTACCTCATAATATGGTTATAAGGATTAGACAGAAGAACATGGCGCTTCCTAAACTCCCTGTAAATTAGATGGGTTTATGGCAATGTTTCTGTCACTATTTATTACTTATTTTTTATTGTTTTGCTAAGTGTCCCAACTAGCCAACGTAGGAACAAGATCATTGCAATATCCAACTTAGTTCCAGTCTTGACCACCAGGATGAGTGACAAAGGCCAGCACTCAGTACTTATCGCTGAGATGCACAACAGGTCCCTTTCTTCACCCCTTTTGTGACTACTTGTCATTTCACAGGGCAAGGACAGGAAGCTGCAGCAGTCAGGGCTATGCCGCTGACGGTGGGTGACCCCGTCCAGGCCTGAAGCCTGCTGTCCTTCCTCCCATAGACACTTCGGGAGTGAGCCACAGCGCTGATGTGCACACACCCTGCCTGCCTGCCTGGGCCGCGCTGATGTGCACACACCCTGCCTGCCTGCCTGGGCCGCGCTAATGTACACACACCCTGCCTGCCTACCTGCCTGGGCCGTGGGGGCTGCTCAGGGAGCAAAGCTACTTTCCGATGCACAGGATGCATGAAGGGACTCTGCTCTACAGCCAGGCCAGGCTCAAAGAACTCGTTCCAAAAGGACTGAAGGGCTGAAGAAATACACAGTGATGGAGTGTTGTCCTAGCAAAGGTGAGGTCCTAGGTTTAAGCTCCAGTACAAAACAAAACTGTCCCCGCAAAATGCAACTATGTATCTATTCTGCCCTTTTTCTTTTCCCCCTAGGTTTAAATCTCAGCTGATCAAGTAGAAGCTGAATACACCTCAGCAAGTAGGGGCAATTCCCTCACTGATTACCTGCCAGTCATGACACTAATTAGGGCCACTCCCCCCCCCCCCCAGCACCAAATAGACCCAATTCCTTCTCTAGGGTCCTCATATCCAGCAAACACCGGTGTGACTGTGCTTCCCGTCTAGTCTCCCAGAAGTCGGGTCGGCCCTACAGCAGCCTGGCTGGCTGAGCCTCCTCCCTTGTCTGGGTTTTGACTTTCCCGCCAAAAACTAGGCTAGCAAATTCAGTGACTGGGAACCATGAGGATGACGGCGGAAGGAGCAAGAATCATGGAACTGACTCAGGGCATTCCCCACGCCAGTTCATTCCAGAGTTCCCTCCTTAGCCATAAAGCTGTCTTAGCAGCCCAGGCCCGAGCACTCGGTCGGTCTGGGTCGGCAATGCAGATGTGGTCACTGTCGGCAGCCCAGGCAGGACCAGTGCAGTCTTACCTCCCACTGGGTCTCCTCGAGTGCAGGGGCGAAGTTCGTCTTCTCCCGCTCATAGGACCTCAGCTTGGTCTCCAGAAGGTCCTGCTCCTTCATGAGGCTCTCGAGCTCCTGCCGCAGCTGCCGCTTCTCCTGCTGCAACTGGAGCACCTGCAGTTGGAGCACCTGCTGTGTGCGCTGGCTCTTCTGGGAGGCCGGCTTCAGCTTACCCTTGGGCTCCAGGCACTCCAGCTCGTCCCTGGGGCGCCTGGGCCGCTCCTCGAAGGGCTGACCCGAGACAAACTCCTTCTCGTCGAAACTGCGCTGGAGCTTCTGCAGGGCAGTTTCCCTATGCCGCAGCTTCTGCTCCAGCTCCTGGATGGTGCACTCGTCCGTGGAGAGCGGGGAGCGCACACACGAGGAGCCCTTGTCCACCTTGCCGGGGTGAGCCAGCTTGCTGCCGCCATCAGAGAAGGACAGAGCCTTCAGGCTCATCATATTACTGTCCTGAAGGATGATGCCCTGTGTGATGTTGTGGGCTGAACCCCCAAAACGGCTGGTAGGCCCCACGGGGGTGACCAGAGGATCCAGTTGGTAGCTGCTGGTGGTGCTATGTGTGGGCAGGCTAGACATGGAGTTCCGGCCTGAGTCAGACAGTGCCCCTGAGCACAGGCCTGGCTTTAGCTCCTGTTCCTTGGGCTTATCTGGAGGCATGGGGTGAAGCTGGTGACTGGCACTCTCAGGTGACGAATGCAGGATGGCTCCGGACCGTGGCAGCACAGGCTTGAAGGCAGTGGGCCTCGCTGGCCCCTTGTCTGAGCTCTGGGGAAACAAAGGAACACACACGCTTGAGTGTCCGTCCCACATTAATCTTGCTCACTTCGAGTGCACATATTCCATCCTTGTGAGTATGCTGAGCTCAGACCCCAAGTGAACCCTTCTTGGTTGGTAGCCATGGCAAACCTTGTCATTTGCTCTGGACCAACTGAGCATAGAACACCTTTCTTGTGTGCATGTGAGTATGTGTGTGTGTACACACATGCCACAGCATGCATGTGGAGGTCAGAGGACAACTTACAGGGGTCAGTTGTCCCCTTCCAGCGTGTGGAAGTCAGGTTGTCAGGCTTGCTGGCAAGCTCCCAACTGCTCAGCTACCTCACCCACCTCAGCCCACAGTTCCTAAGAAACCCTCTGAGGGAAGGAGCTGGAGGCAGCAGCTAAGAGCATAGGCAGTTCTTCCTGAGGACCTAGATTTGATTCCCCACACGCGGAAGGTGGCCCACAACTGTTTTCTAACTCCGGTTCCAGGGGATCTGACACATGTTTCTGGCTGGCCTCTGTGGGCACCAGGCACATACATGGTACACATACATAACATGTAGGCAAAGGTTCATATACAAATAAATAAAAAAACCAAATCTTTAAAAATAATAAGAAGAAAGTACTCTAAGGCCCAGTATGATGTTATACACCTTTGTCATTTAACTTGAGAGGCAGAGGCAGGCAGATCTCTGTGAGTTCCAGGCCACCCTGTTCTATATAGTGAGTTCTGGGTAGCCAGGGCCACATAATGAGACCCTGTCTCAAACAAACAAACACTACCTCTATACCTAAGAACGTCTTCAGTTATGGCCTACGCATTGTGCGAGCACTCACTGCCACCTGGTACCAGCCCGCTGCAGATGTTAGATGGGGACCGGGGTGTGGTTCAGTTAGGACTGCAGGCTGTGTGAGCTCAGCACCTCCTTCCCCTCCTCCTCTTCCAATGGGCCTAGCACGACTGTCAATCACCACTCAGAGTCCAAGAAGATCATTTGGAATAGCATCCTTTCTGGTGCAGTGGCCCTCCACGGAGGGCTGTGCCTTTCCCAAGGCGTTTGTTCAGAAAGCTCTGAGCAAACACAGGCATCCTTCTCAATCTAGGCTGAGAATTCCTGGTCCTAAAATCTCAGACCTGAAATGCTCCAGAATCCGCAAGGCTTTGAGTCCAGACAAGATGCCGAGAGTGGAAGAAGTCTGCACACCTGGAAATTTTGTTTTGTGTATAAATTATTTAAAAATATTATAGAATCATCTTCCACTTCTGTGTGTTAGGCACATAGGAAACAAACGACGGTTGGCTTAGATAGCTCCATGCAAACATTTCACAGACTTGAAGAAACCACCCTGAAATGTCTGCACTCCTGTTCCCAGGCACTTCGGATAAGGGGCATTTAACCTGTGTTTTAGTCATTGAGTGCTGTAGAGTGGGCATGGGAGCTGAAACAAGCTGGCTAGCTTCCAGTGTGCACTAGTGAGGCTCATGGAAGCCTGAGCTGTTGCAGGCAAGGTCTCTAAACACCTAGGGCTCTTTGTGGGCATCCTTACTCATTCGATAACAAAATCTCAGAGCCCTTCTCCAACCAAGGGGACCTGGAAGCCAACCACAGGTAGGGCAGGGATACGAGTGAGAATCCTCATCCAGATTATGTCCCAGCAGAGCCCAGGCAGGTTTGGATTCCCCTCTGCCCTTTGCTGCAGGGAAAACTAAGATTTCTAGGTTAGGGATAGACTTTTGATTTCTGCAGTGAGGCCCAAACACTCTCACCTCTCTGTTCTGGCCTCTTGAAGGCTTAAACACTTAGATCAGGTACTCATCCTTATTACTTCTCATCCTGTTCCAACACCCCCAAACACCTTTGTCAAAGAACCTCACTTACCATATCCAGCTGATTGGAGAAAGGCAGAAGCTTAGGTGGGGTGGCTGGATCAAAATCTACCCCAGCCTGGCCCCCCATGTCCCCACTGGATAGGGCTGTGTAGTCTGGGCGGTGGGAGCCTCGGGCCTTCTGGCTGACCTTGATGTAGAAGAAGTCTTCACTTTTTCCCATTTTGGAACTGGACTTGCCACGTCCCGAGTCTTGGGAGAAGCCAAATCTCAGCAGCCCATCCGAGTACCGGTTGAGCTTCTTGAGGTGGGAGGATTTGCGCAGCTTGTACTGTGAGGCACGGCAATGCTTGCTATGGAAGCTGTGGCCCGAGATGAGGCTGCTGACGCTGCCCATGGCGACGCTTGGCTAAGGGCCTGCAGGGTAGAACAGGGACCTGAAGACACTGTAGCAGCAAAATGTAGTCCTGGTTCAGCCAGGGGACTGTGGTCAGAGCAGAACCCTCTCAGAGCCTGGACAAGCCATGGACCTGGAAAGAGACGGAGGAGGTCATAGATCTAGACACAGCATCGTTATGATGATTTCAGGAGAGTTATTTTAACCATGGAACCTGGATGGTAGATAAGTGTGTCAGTCAGTGCCAGATCCACTTCTGTGAGCATCTCTATCATTCTGATGACATGAGCAGGCCAGAGGGGGGCACCGTTCTCTGCTCTGGGCTCCCAGGGGAAGCTGAATACTGCACAGGATCATGGGCTCTATATGTAGTGTCTTATGGAGAGACAGCCCATACCTAATCCACAGGACCCGTTTCAAGTACTATGCTAAAGAGAAATCAGGATGTTTATGTGTGTATTGGGGTGTGGGCGGGGGACAGTGGCAGAGTTCTGTATGCCCAGGGAGTACTAAGGTTTAGATGAATCCCTTAGTATTTATGTTTTAAAAACTCAGTCTCCAGTGTCATATGTTCACGGCATTTGGGAATGAGATTTGAACTCACTAGGATTAGATGAGATCATGATGCAAGGAGCCTAGTGATGGCATTAGTGGCTCTGTAAAAGGAAGTAAATCCAGGGGTGACCGCACCCACCTATAATTCCAGTTTAGAGGGTAGAGGCAGGAGGATGGAGAATTCAAGGCTACCCTGGGCTGCATATTAAATTAAAGACAGAGAAAGCCTAGGTTTCATCATAGTAAGAACCTGTCTTCTTAGGCAAGAAGAAGGGAACAGGGAGGAAGAGGAGGAGGAGCAGGGAAGAGACACAGGTGGACACTTGTTCTATCTGGAAATGTGCTGCCCTGTACAATCCTCCCAGGGGTGGGGCTAAAGACCACCTTCTCCACAGCAAGAAAGACTTGACCAGATATGAATGCCCAACCCTTCTTGAACGTCTTGAAAACTGTGGCTCAGCCTCTCTTCTTTATAAATTATTCTGCTTTTGGCCTTCTGTCATAGCAACAGTGATGTTGTCGTAGTTGCATTAGAAGAGATCGTAAGAAACTGAGAAACAGGCCATGGGAATCTGGGAGGACAAAGCTTTAAGGAGCTATAAGGGCAAAGGCCTGAGAGCTTGCTGCACGGGACCATCTGGGAACCCATCCTGACTGGACAGCCACCGGGTTGGCAAGAGAGAGCTCACAGGTAGGTCCAGGGAGCAGGACGCTTCCTGAGACAGAAAGAAGGAACGTAAGCAAGGGACAATTTCATGTCCTGTACTATGGAAGGGCATGGTGACAGCCCAATAAAGGGGATGCTGCGGGGTGGGGGTGGGGGCTCAGCTGTTTGAGTGACTATTCAATTGGGCTGGAGTGGCTGGGAACTTTTCGTTGTAATTTCAAGGCTGCTCTGATAGGATTTGCAAAAAGGATTTGATAGAGTGAAAGAAAGAGAAGGTAAGAAGGGCCGGGGGAGGGGGGAGTCTTGGAGGAAGGAGGGCTGGAGGAGGTAGCTCATTGGTAATATGACTGCCCTGGCAACAGAGATGGTATTCCAGAGACACACTGAAAAAAATGATCTCAAAAAATAAAAGTTTCCCTAGGAATCTTGGGGGCAGGATCTGCAGCTCTCCTGACAGCCAGAGGGGGTGCTGCTTCGCAGATTTTACCCAGTTCTGACAACTTATAGGAGCATCCTGCAGTAGAGACTGAGTCTACGATGGACGATGGAAGGGACCACACCTTGACTGGTACTACTTAACTATGCATCCCCCTACCCTCAGTTCAAGCCTCAGACCAGTGACTCTGAAGATGGACTAAGAAGGAGACCACTCCTCACCAGTCCCTTCCCAGCACATCCACAAGGACTAATTTCACTAGAGCTGGTTCCTTTAATTGGCATACTGGGGATGGATGGCAGAGCCTAGCTTACTGGGGCTGCCAAAGCCCAAGCTTTTTTTTTTTAATATTTATTCATTTATTATGCATTCAATATCTGCCTACACGTGTGCCTGCAGGCCAGAGAGGGCACCAGATCTCATTACAGATGATTGTGAGCCACCATATGGTTGCTGGGAATTGAACTCAAGACCCTTGGAAGAGCAGGCAATGCTCTTAACCACTGAGCCATCTCTCCAGCCCCCCCCCAAGCTTTTTTTTAAAAATCCTATTAACAGTAGGGCAGTTACCTAGCATGCACAAGGACCCAGATTCTAACCATCTCTAGCATGTACATGAGTATGTGTGTGCATGCACACACACACACACACACACACACACACACACACACAGAAGAAATATAGAGAGAAATAAAGAGAAAAAGCAAATAAATAACTTCAAGAATTAATTTTCTAAAATGTTAATGTTCTTTTATGGAGCAGCCAGAAGCAGGGATTTGTCACTCACTGAATTAACAAAGACCACAAGCTGAGCAACCCTAGGGGAGCTGAGCTGAAGAGCAGGGGTTTGGTTTAAGTTTGTGAAAGCTGCTATGGAAACTGTTGGGTACCTGCGTTTGATGGAGAAGGCGGCAGGCAGTGAGGGAAGGCACGGGAGCCGCACATTTACAGGGAAAAGATGTTAGTGTGCAGAAAGACAAGCCTGAGGATTGGTTCTGAGAGCAAGCTCAGGAGGCAGGAAGGAAGACGAGCGGAGGCTGTCCACGCACAGGAGGACTTCTGGTCGGGGCGCCTCCTGCATTCTGCACATTGCGTCACTTAAAACTGGGTTCTCTCTTCTACTCTGTGAACTCTTGGGATCAAACTCAAGACCTCAGGCTTGGTGGCAAGTGCCTTTACCCGGTGAGCCATCTTGCTGTTCCCATTACACCACTTGGGAAGGTGGTCCCTCCTTTCTTGCACACCAAGTGTACATTTGTGAGGATTATACAATGCTGTGTGGTAAGGCCAGACCCCTGGCTTTGACGGAGAAAGATTTCAATATGAAAACCAACTTCTCCATTTTTTTTATTACAAAGCAAAAATATTTATTGTTTTTAGGGTCTTCCTATGTAGCTCTGGCTGGTTTGATACCAGATAGCCCAGACTGTGCTCAAGTTCACGTTGATCCTCCTGTCTTACTCTCCCAAATGCTGAGATGGCAGGTGAACCACCAAGCCTGACTGAAATGTCCACACTTAAGTAGGAACTGCAGGAAGATTGAAGCATGCTTCAGAGTGCAGTGTGATGCTCGGCACAGGAAATGTGCCCTACAGATGTATCTAGAATAAACAGAAGCCTGTGACAGCATGGTGCCTTCAAAAGCCGTGACAGATGAAGTGTATCTACAATACGGGGCATGTGTGTCTTAAGTCTGAATGCAAATGGGTTCCCACAAGCATATGTGTTTGAATACTTGGTCCCCAGCTGGTGGCACTGTTTGGGGAAGTTGTGGAAACTTTTAGATGGAGATCTAACAGGCAGAGACAGGGCCATATGAGTAAAGAAAGAGGGCCATAGCCAGTTCTAGTTTCACCCAGAGTTCTCTGCTTCCTGATCCACAAGACGTGAGTGGCAGGGCTGCCAATGTGACTCCACGGATAAAGTGCTTGCCATGCAAGAGGGAGGCCTGGAATTCAGATTCCCAGAACCCATAGAAGTACAGGGCCAGCATGGTGACCCACCTGCAGTTCTAGTGCCCAGGAGGATCCTCAGAGTAAATTGACTGGAATTAACAAGTCCAAGGTTCAAGTTAGAGGCCTTGTTTCAAAATAGGGAGGTAGAGAGTGTGGACAAGAAGGATGCTTGCCATCAATATCTGGCCTCCGTGTACATATGGATACATGTGCACCTACATACTTGTGTGCCTGCATACATGTGAACATATACACAGCATGTGCATGCACATGCACACACACACAAAACCGAAAACCAAAAACTGTGAAGAGCCCCTCTGGCCACCAAGCTTTTCCTGCCTCGCTAGGCTGTGACCCTCTCAAACTCTGAGGTGATGGTAGCCTTCCTCTCCTCCTGTACGTTGCTTCTGTCAGGCACTGTAGTGCAGCAATGGGGAAGGTAAAGGATAAACATACTAACCAAATGTGCTTTTGAATGAGAGGTGAGATGGCCAATGCCTTTCCGTTTTGTTCGTTACACACATCACAAACCCTGAGTGTCTACAGTGCAAAACCTTCCAGGCTTCCCATCATTCTCACAGTAAAAAGTAAGACTGCACTCCATATCCTGCGTCCTTCACTGACATCCACAGCCACAGCCGCACTGCTTCTCTCTGTGCACTGAGCGCAAGAGGCTTTGTCCGCTTAGGACATGCTCCCCTGCTGCTGGCCTATCTACCTTCATATGGTTCTATGTATTTCACTCTTTACTCTCAATTCATCTCCTGTTACCCTAGACAAGTTCAGCTCCTCCACTGTGTTCTGCCACCAAACACTATTTTCCATCTAATAACTCCGTTAGCCCACAGTATGCTTACTTTAAAATGTAGTTTATTGCACATTTGTCCAAATTCTGTGGCAACAAATACTTTGTATCTGTGGCTCCCAGAACAAAACTGAGGGCGATTAGTCAGCAGGTCAGAGAGCTACTGTAATGTTGTGGCCTCAGTCAGCTCACCACTGAGCAATGGAGCCTTTGACCTTAGATTTGCACATCACCATCTGCCAGATAAACACAGATCCATGCTATCACATGCTGTTGGGATGTAGACTCAGAGTTGATTAGCTCCTGCACCAGTGGTCAATAAGGTTGAGAGAGAACCTAGAGGAAAAAACAAGGACCAGAGCCTTCAGCCACACCTTCATTTCCTTTAAGTACAAATACCAGGAAGGTTCCAGGAGCCCTGAGCGGCAGCCTGGATGACTTGCTGTGCACGGTTTCATGCTGGGCATGCAGACTTGGGAGAAAACACAGAGCATTAGGAGTAAAAGGAGGGGTGGACAAAGGACAGACAGCTCTGGTCCATACACCCTCAGGTCTTAACATCCAGGGAGCTGTAAAGTTCAGGGTTTCTCTGGGATTCACTTGTAACCAAGCTTAACACTCCTTAAGCGTCCAGACTTACTCCACCATCAATTAGAGAGCATTCCAGCAGACGTGGCTATAATTCAGTCTTATTCTCACCCGCCCCATCAGACTT